CCCTCCCAGGGGTGGAGCAGCCACAGCTTCTCTGGGCAACCTGTGCCAGTGCCTCAGCACCCTCACAGGGAACAATTCCTTCCTGATATCCCCTCTCTCCCTGCCCTCAGGCAGTGGGTAGTCCTCAGCCACATCCTGAGAAACATTCCCCAAGATCCAGACTCAATCCTCCTTCCTCTAACATGAAATGACACCAAGCTGTCCCTGCCCAGCAGTATGTCCTGGGGGCCAAGGAGGCCAATGGGATCCTGAGGCATGTGAGAAACAGCATTGTCAGCAAGTCAGGGAGGTGATCCTGTCCCCCTGCACAGCCCTGGGGAGGCACATCTGGAGTATTGTATCCAGTTCTGGGTTCCTCAGGACCAGAGGAACATGGAGCTCCTGGAGCAGGTCCAGCTGAGGCTATGGAGATACTGAAGGGACTGAAGCATCTCCCCCATTCCTCATGATCCCTCAAGCCTGAGGGAACTGAAGCTGCTCAGCCTTGAGTAGAAACGGATGATCCCTTGATCCTGCCTTTCTCCAGGCTAAAACACCCCATGAGCTAAGGCCAGAAGCCACAGAAACCTCTGGTCCCAAGTTGGACACCTCAGTGCAGGTGGGGTGAAGCCAATCCTAATGCAGATGAACCCCCAACCACAAGAAGCCCAAATGAGAAGACTCCAACCTCCCTCCAGCCCTGACTTTTGGCTAAAAAGCTGTGCTGGCACAGCAGTAAAGAGCTCTGATGAAAGTTGTGCAGCTCCCACAACATGTAATCAAGTGCATAACTAATTTGTTACACAACACAACTTGGCAAAACAAATCAGTTGATTATTAGCAATAAGGAAGTGTATTTGCAGCAGCTCCTCCCCAGAGGCCCCAAAGGAGGTCAGTTATGCTGAGCACAGAGCACTAGTGGAAAGCAAATCTGACAGAAGATTTGGGCATGTGAAACTGGAATAAATGAGGGTTGCAAGAGGCACTTGACAAGAAAGTGGAATGAAATACCAACAATACAACAGACACATGAAAGTCATTTAGTGAATGTCTTGAGCAGAGACACAGCCACAAGGAATGGCTCATTATGCCCCAGAAACCACATCAAACCACACTTGTCATTGTCCAAACACTGAGCCTTTCCAAAGGAATTGGTTTTCCCTCCTGCTTCCTTCTCCCAGTGCTGCTGGTTCCAGAGGCAGAGCAGCTGTGCAGATCTGCATGCAGAGCAGCTAGGAGGGAACAGCTCTTGCCCTCATTTTTCCCTTCTTGTTTTACACCACAGCAACAAATGAGATCAGTATCAGATGTGCATTTAGAGAAATATGTCCTGCTATCTCCTCTGCTTGTTCCTGTGTCAAGGAATTCAAAGCTAGGCATGAGGAAAATAATCATTGCCTCACATTTCTGCTTTTTTTTTCATCTAAATGAGACTCCTATGTCATTTTTACTCCTGGATTTACATTAAAATCATGGATTCAGGCAACTACAGAGCCAAACAACACAGCATCAAATATGGAACAGCCAGAAGACTCTTACTGCTGTTTATTTAGGGGAGGAATAAATCAGCTCCTTCCTCTCAGCACAAGCACATGAAAAAGAAAAGAAAGGCTCTACTTACACTGTACAATGAGCTGCACCAAAGCTTCTCTGGGCTTCACATTGAAGCCATTGTATTGGCTGGTCTGGCACCTGTAGGTTCCTGTCATGTCCCTGGACACGTTGACTATCCTGAGGATGCCGTCGTAGCTCTCGGTCTGCATGGCCCCGTCTGGCATCGCCACCTCCTTGTCTGCTCGGGACCACAGGATGATGGGCTTGGGCTTCCCTGTCACCTGGCACTGCAGCTCGATGGTGTCCCCCTCCCGGGTCACCAGGGGGGACTTCTCCTGAGGAACAGTCAGGTTGGGTGGGACTTCAGAGGAGAGAAAGAGAGGGGGAAACGATTAGCACTACAGAGACATCAGATGGATTTCTTGCAGTCACATATGGAGAAGCAATTGAGACACAGACAGCAAAGCATAGTGACTGCAGAGACTGGGAGACTGTGCAAGCATGGAATCAGCAAGGTTGGAAGAGACCTCTAGGATCATCAAGTCCAACCATTAACTTGCCATTCCATTGTAATACCTAAACCATATCCTCCAGCACCAGATCCAGAGGCCTCTTAAACACTTTCATGGATGGTGACTCCACCACCTCCCTGGGCAACCTATTCGGTTGCTCCTATATCATAGAGTCATAGAATCATTAAGGCTGGAGGAGACCACTAAGATTATCAAGTCCAACCATTAACTTGCCACCGCTGTAACCCCTAAGCTTTCCAGTGTCAGACCCAGACACCTCAAACACTTCCAGGGATGGTGACTCCACCATGGGCAAACCCATATTCCAGTGCTCCTGTATCATATAATCATAGAGTCATCAGGGTTGGAGGAGATCTCTAAGATCATCAAGTCCAACCTGTCACTCCATTGTAACCCCTAAACCTTCCAGGGCCTCTTAAACATTTCCAGGGATGCTGACTCCACCATTTCCCTGGGCAAACCTATTGCAATGCTTCTATATTATAGAATCATCATGGTTGGAGGAGTCCTCTCAGATCATCCACCAACCATTAACCTGTCACTGCTGTAACCCCTAAACCCTAAACCATATCCTCCAGCACCAGATCCAGATGCCTCTTAAACACCTCCAGGGATGGTAACTCCAGCACCTCCCTGGGCAGCCTATTACAATGCTCCCATGGTGACATGTATCTTCTGGAGGTGTTTGAGAGGAAGGAGAGTGAGTGGCCCAGGACATGAACCTTTGGGGTGTAGGTGTGTGTAAGATTCATTACAAGAAGCTCCTGTGCAACAGCAAGTAATTTCTGCTGTCTTTGGCTCACTTTCTTGTCTGAAAACACAGAGCTAACAGCACTGCCAAACCTGTCCCTTGTCAAGATAAGGCCCTGAGCCTGTGAGGGCTGAGACAGGCTGATAAGATAAGCTCTATCAGTGCCCCAGATGGAAAAAGATACCTTCAAATCCCCTGACTCATCATCTCCTGTGGCACTTTGCACCACAACCAGTGTCTGGCACCTGTAAACCAGCCAAAAGCTCATTAGGCTTTACTGTATTTATTCATCTTGTTACTGGAAGAAGCAAAGGAGAGAAGAGGGACAAGGCCAGCTGGTAAAACAAACAATTCCATAGGCAATGCCATAAATCCACAGCTTGGCTGCAGCTTTCATAGCTCACACTTGACTGAGAGTACCCAACACTGAGGTCCCATGAGTATTGCTCTGCTCCCACCTCAGCAGTGATGCCTACAGGTCCTCCTTAATTCAGCTGCTGATTCTCCACTCTCTAATTAGGGAAAGCTCTGAACCTCTGCCCAGGGAGGGGTTTGGATAGGGTTTCCCCTCTTAAATCCATCTATTTATTTTCACAAGCTCACAGGTACTTAATTAGCTCTGAGATGTCTATTTTGCTGTCAAATGTAGCTTAAATTAACACCAGGGTGAAAAAACCCTCACAGGTTGTGGGGAGATGTTATACACTGCCTGGTACTGGCAGCCTGAGCATGTGTGACTTGATTTCCTAAGCAATAAAGCTCAAAGGAATGGAGGAGAAAAGAATGATTGGATGGTTTTATTCCTTTACTGGGATCAAAGATGTGGAGAGACACAAGGATCAGGGACCAGAGTCTGCTGTGGAGGAGGCACAGCAGGTCTGGGGGTAGAAACACAGAAGCATGGAATCATTTAGCTTGGAAAAGCCCTTTAAGTCAAGTCCAACCATCTCCCAGCACTGACAAGGCCACCACTAACCATGCCCCAAGTGCCATATCCACATGGCTTCTAAATCCCTGCAGGGATAGTGACTCCATCACTGACCTGGGCAGGGCTTGGCAACCCTTTCCATGAAGAAATTGTTCCTAATATCTAATTTAAGACTCCCCTGGTACAACTTAAGGCTGTTTACTGTTGTCTAGGACTTCTTCCTTGAGGAAAGAGTCTGAGCTCTACCTGGCTGCAACCTCAGGGAGGTTGGAAAAGGCCTCTTAGATCACTGGATCCAACCATTCCCCAGCACTGCCATGGCCACCACTAACCATGTCCCAGGTGCCACATCCACATGTCTCTTAAATCCCTGCAGGGATGGTGACTCCACCACTGCCCTGGGCAGCTGTGCCAGGGCTGGACAACCCTTGCCATGAAGGAATCTTTCCTATATCCAACCTAAACCTCTCCTGGTGCAACTTGAGGCCATTTCCTCTTGTCCTGTTGCTTGTGCACAAGCAGAGATGAACAAGCAAAGATGCATCAACAAGCCAAAGTCCATAAACAGAAATCCATGGACAGGGGTGGCTTGGAAAGATGCTGCCAATGGGATGAGCTTAGAGGGATTTCAGCCAAGCAAGCACAAGTACCAAGCAGCTGAGGAGGATGTTTCCAGCTGTGCTAGGTTGTTACCAGCTGTGCCAGCCTTCCTGTCCCACCAGGTGCTGCTGTGGCACCAGCTCAGCCCTCCTCATCATCAGCTTCTCTCCTGCAGCATCGGCTCCAGAGCTTGCTGCAAGGAAAGGTCAATTCTCTCCCTGCTGCTGCAGAATAATAAGTTGCTAAAGCCTAGTTTGGAAACAACAAACATTACCTTATTCAAGCAGAAAGTGGCTTAAAACTAAGTTAATACTCTTAGCAGTTAAATCTGGCTCCTACAGCAGAGGGTTAGCACTTGAGAAACAAAAGCCTTAGTGGCACTAAAATAGCTCCTGCTTTAAAAGCACAGTCTGAGAGCCTTTGCAATGGGCAGTGGCACACGTGGAAGCAGGTTCTGTTGATGGATGTTCACTCCTGGCTCTTAAATCAAATGGTCTGTGCCAATCTTAGGCTCAGAAAATTGCTGACTCAGCAGAAGGGCAAAGAGCAGAAGGGATCACTGCACTCTTGTCCTCTTCTTTGTTGTTAAACTGCTCCCTAGGCACGTGTCTTTTACTGGAAGCACTAAAACCAGACTAGACCCTTTCATCTGCTCTTCTGTAGTAGTTCCATAATTCCACAGTGTCCTTGATCATGTCACCACATCTACAGGACAATGGGGACAGGACCAACGTGGCCATTTCAAACCAAAAACCCCAAATGCATGAGCCTAATCTGTTTATTCACTGTGTCTCCTGGGTAGACACAACCTGGTTCTACTCTAGGTCTCTGAAGTCTTGATGGATCAAATCACAGCTTAATTAATGTCTGATGGATCAGATTAATTAATTGCCAGAGAGCCAATGGCAGAGGTAAGAATCTGCTTATAGCCCCTTCAGATATCCCTGGCAGGGGATGAGAGTAGATGCACTTTAAAAGGTCTTTTCTAACTCACACCATTCCATGATTCTAAGGCAATCAATGTGATAAGGTCAAGGAACCCCTAGAAGTGGTGGCCCCATGGTACACTGGTGGCAGACACACCACTCCTGAGCAACTCCCTGGGGATTACAGGAGCTACTATCACTTCTGTAGATCCTTGGGTGCCTTGAGGAATTTCATGGCCTTGGAGCAGTGCCTGTCAGCCCCAGCAGTGATGAGGAGCTGTGGGACAGTGTGGTCAGTTTGCTGCACATGGACTAATGGTAATAATTAGTAATTAGAGGATAAAGCAGAGCAAAGGAGCTGCATAGCAGGAAACAATCCAAACTGGAGCTTACTCAGACATCAGCTCCCGAAAGAAGAGTTGGAATTCACATGACAAACCAGCCTAGCTAAGGAATATTGACCAATCCACACTCTCCTGGCTAGGAGATAGAGCTGAAGCTATTTGTGTTTCCTCCTTCTCTAATATTTATGACTTTGGAGGTCTGAATCCCTGGTATTAATCATCCTCTGCCTGAGACATGCATTTTGCTCTCTGCTCATGATTCACACTCCTGATGTGATGGAGGAGCTAAGACAGGACAGACTGAGCTGTGGCAGAGGAAGCTGAGTTGGTATACAAAGTAGATTTGAGAAAGATCATTCAGCCTGTGAAGGGCAGCAGGAGCTTATTATTCATGAGTGCTGATTATGCAGGCTCTGTAGACATCTCAGAGGCTAAAACTGCTCAGTGTAGCCTTAGTGTGTGTTACTTTGAGGAGAAATGTTGGGGAACACCCAAGAGCACAAGCTGGAAGGGTCCCAGAAGTGAGAGAAAAGCCCTAGGGGAGATTTGCTGATCCAGCCAAATGATTGGAAAAGCAGCTGAAGTCAAGAGAATTGACTTTAACTGTGGCTTTTTATCACCATGAGAAAGGGTCTAGCAGGTCACTCATGTGCAAGGTAAATCAAGCAACCTGTAAGGAAGTCCTGTCTTGATTTCATGGTTGCTTTCTCCTTTCATCACTCTGGTTCCTTCTGTGTCCTGCCCAGACACAGGAAAGAAGAGAAAACACCACAGTCCATATTCTCTGGGGCACAAACCACTTCTGATTACACTTGAAGGCACAACATCACCCACAAATTTCATAGAATCACCAAATCAAACCATCTCCAGTTGCAGGTGAAGATGGAACATCACCCATAGATCTCACAGAGTCACAGAATCCAAACCACTTCTAATTGCAGGTGAAGATGTAACATCAAGCAGAGATCTCACAGAATCCTTCAAGTTGGAGAAGATCTCTAAGATCACCAAGTCCAACCACCAACCATGTCCCAGTGCCACATCCATATGGTTTCCTGAACCCTTCCAAGGATGGTGACCACTACTGCCCTGGACAAACTGTTTCAATGCTTGGCAGCCCTTTCCATGGAGGAATTTTAGCTAATATCTGATCTAAACCTCCCCTGGTACAGCCGGAGGTCATTTCTTGTCCTGAAATGCTGGTGGGGAGATCTACTTAGTCAGTAAAACAACTCCTGAATCAATGCTTATAACTCAACATACTTTCAACAGCCTAAAGCACCACCTAGCTCTGCAGCAGAGTGAAGAGGAACATTTCAAACCCAGAACACACAGCCAGAGGCAAATTAGCCCAATTAGCTCTCAGTGCTCTCACAGGAGCTGTGCTCAGGAGCTCCATGTGCCACATGCACTGCAGAATGATGAGACAACTCCACAGCCCCCTGGAGAGGGATAGACTCCACAACACGTGTCTGCCCCCAGAAATCCCACTGAAATCCATCCACAGGGGATGACTATATCCCAGATAATTCAGAATTCCCAAGGGAAGGGGCTGCAGAGCAGGACAGAGCCTGGCCTGGCCTGCCTCAGCCGCTTGGAGGGAAGGGCTGGCAGCTCCCAGGGTTGGAATTAACAAGACAAATCTCTGCACATTAAGCACTAAAATAGAACTATAAAAGAAAAAGCTTTTTAACAAAATCCAGCCTTTATCTGTCCCTTCTGTTCACCTCCTCCTTTCCAAGATAAACTCCAAGGATAATGGCTCCCAAACCCAATCAATTCCCTGCACTAACAAACCTCTCTCTGTTTCCTGCTGTGGCTCAGAGTTCCCTGGGAAGGATCACTCAGGACAGTGCTTAAGGTTTACAAATATCTTAATTGGGTCACTAATGATCAGATTTCATTATGTAACTGTGATTTCAATAAACATTTCCAGGGAAAATCAAGGTCTCTTTCATGTCTCATCAAAGCAGTAACAAGCTGACCAGAGGCTTCACACAGATCAAGGCCACAGGTCTTCACACATCAGGCTGGATGGTTAATTAATTCATTAGTTAATACAGAGCTGATTAGCTTAACAGAGAAGTTCTAATCATGCTGCAAAGATACACAGCCTTGTATGTACTAGTTCTCCAGGAATTTCTCTGCCTTGGCTCTTAGCAAAGCCCAATCTATCCCTGGGAGTGTTCCAGGCCAGGTTGGATGGGGCTTGGAGCCACCTGGGCTAGTGGAAGGTGTCCCTGCCCATGGCAGGGGGTGGGATGGCATGAGCCTTAAGGTCCTTTCCAACGCAAACCACTCTATGATTCCATGATCTGGAGAAACAGAAGCTCTGGAGGCCACAGGCCTGCCCAAAGTCCATGCCCTGCTCCAGGATGTGCCTATCCCAGAGTGGTACAGGTGCACCCTCAGCACATCTTAGGTTCATCCAGAGAGGAAGAATTTGACATGTTTACCATGTAGAACATCTAGTTGTGCCTGCACAGGGTGGGAATGAGACAGGAGAAAGAGCTCCTTTAAGAAAAGAAGGATCAGCATCTCCTCCACCTTTCCTTTCCTTTCCTTTCCTTCCCTTTCCTTTGTTTTCCTTTCATTCCATTCCCTTCCCTTTCTCCTTCCCTTTCTTTTCCTTTCATTCCCTTCCCTTTCTCCTTTCCTTTCCTTTCCTTTCCTTTCCTTTCCTTTCCTTTCCTTTCCTTTCCTTTCCTTTCCTTTCCTTTCCTTTCCTTTCCTTTCCTTTCCTTTCCTTTCCTTTCCTTTCCTTTCCTTTCCTTTCCTTTCCTTTCCTTTCCTTTCCTTTCCTTTCCTTTCCTTTCCTTTCCTTTCCTTTCCTTTCCTTTCCTTTCCTTTCCTTTCCTTTCCTTTCCTTTCCTTTCCTTTCCTTTCCTTTCCTTTCCTTTCCTTTCCTTTCCTTTCCTTCCCTTTCCTTCCCTTCCCTTCCCTTCCCTTCCCTTCCCTTCCCTTCCTTCCCATGTCTTTTCCAAGCAGTAAAGCCAGCAAATCAAGCAAACCCCCTGAAACACTAACTCCCTTCCCTGCAAACAATGCAGGGGAAGGAGGAGAGAGAATCAGCCAGGAGGGACAGTGGAAGAACCTGCTCTGAACACAGCAGAACACACAGCACCCAAACCCTTCTTCTTCCTGCCTCAGCTACAATATGTAATGCTGAGCAAAGATCCCTCACTGGCACACTTTGCTGAGCCACAGCTCTTTTTGCTTCCAATGAACTCACTTTACTGAGGGTTTTTTTTGCTGCTTTTTTAACATCTTGTTGCCTTTTTAACATCTTCTGCCTTCAGGTTCCCCTTGACATGCTCCCACACAGCCACAGGAGCCACCCTGGTTCTCACTAACATTTGCCCAGGGTTGCTTTTCTGGATGACAAAGCTTTTATAGGGCAAATATTAATCATTTGAGTCTTCATTTTCACTAGTCAGTGACCTACTTTGTGGAGCTCTGGGGCGGGAGTTGCTAGGGGATTACTTCAGGTCCATTTATATAAGATACTCAGGACATAAATCTATGCCTTTCCTGCTCCAAATGTCAAGGGGAAAACTATTCCTGCAAAAGAAATGCAATGCCAAGTATGTCAAGAGGCCCTTGCAGTGCCACATGTCCCTTTCCAACCTGCTGGAGGGACAGGGGAGACCTAAAGGTCTTCATCCTTCCTTAGGAGGTGCCACAGCTCCTCCTGCCTCACTCACTGACTCCAGGAGACATATAGGCAGGAGAAACCTCTCCCGCAAACCACCAAAGAGCCACACAGAGAATGATATTAATAAATCCCTGCAAGTCTTGGCATTTGGAAACTGTGTTTGTGCCTAGGCCTTATGTTCATAATTACCAGAGCAGTAATGAATCTTGATGAATCAGTAATGACCTTCAAAGCACTGAGACTCTTGCAGCTTCCACTTGAGTGTGTGATGAAGTCTTACCAACAGCACAAGCTCTTGGAAGAGGCTAAATCAGGCTCAGCCCAAATGTCAGGTTTGCTTCCCTGTCCTCTGATTTCCCTGAGTGTTATGGGGCAGGAAAACCAGGAACTGAGAGGAATTTAGGAGCTCAGAGTTCCTGCACTGCCTGCAGGATCTGGGCTGAGCTTACAGCTGTGGATGGCTAATGGATGGTTCCAAGAAATCCCAGCAATATCCCAAAGGATTCCTCAGCCAAGCACAGATCACACAGTGGTTATGGTGTGCCAGGTGAGCAATGCAGAACTGCACCAACAGCACTGGCTGCTTCACCCTGCAAGCAGGGAACAGAGTCTGCATGGAATGGTCATCCATCATCCCAAATTTGGCTCTTCCCCTATATTAATCATCCCAGTTCTTTAGCTGTTAGTAAGATCTGAGAAATTCCAGACTGGTTTGGATTGGAAGGGACTTGAAGATCGTATTGTCCCACCTCTGTCATGGGCAGGGACACCTTCCACCTGCCCAGGTGGCTCCAAGCCCTATCCAACCTGTCCTGGAACACTCCCAGGGATGGAGCAGCCACAGCTTTTTTGGGCAACCTGTTAACAAGGCCCTTCCAGTCTAGTCTGCTTGGAATACCTCATGGTGAGAAGTGCTCTGTGTATAGACCCATGTTCCATGAGGAAAGGAAAACCACATCATGACTACATCAAACAATATACCCCAGAGCTTCTCCTCACCTGTACTGCTGGAGATGTTGACATCAATGCTGATATCTGAGATGCCTCCACCCTTCAGTGATGCCACACACGTATATGTCCCAAAGTCTGTGAACTTCAAGTCAATAATGTCCAGGTTGGTGGTTCCAGGTGACACATCAGGGTCAGTCTGGGTGATGACCATCCTCTCTGAACTCCGCAGGGGCCTCCCGTTCTTGAACCAGCTGAAGGTGAGCTCCTCGGAGGGGATTGCCTCCACCTGGCAGGAGATCTTCACCTCCCTCCCAATCTGGATGTTGTCATCTTTGTGGTAGGGGTCAGGGGTGATCCAAAAACGTCCTTTTTTTAAGGCTGAAATAGGAAAAGAGGAACATTTTGCTGCTATAAAGTACAAATTTAGCTTCATTTGATGTCTACTTTGGATTGTTCAAGGGTTTAGAGCCGTAGGATGATGGGAAATGATTTTAAGCTCAAAAAAGGCTGATTTAGATACGATATGAGCTGGAATGTTTTATGGTGAGAGTGGTGAGGCATTGGCGCAGGTTGCCTAGGGAGGTGGGTGATGCCCCATCCCTGGGAGTGTTCCAG